ACTTATGATTGGGTGAAGGGGGGTGTAACATGATCATTACTAAAAGGAAAATGATTTGCTTAAATTTAATAATAGCTTTTAAAAAATATAACAAAATAGGTTTTTGTTTTAGGGAATTCTTTAGCCAAACTTCTATTGTCTGTGTGATGATCCCCCCCCCCCCCCCCCAAAAAAAAAAAGATATTCATCATTTCATGTCATTTTAAAAATAAAAGGTTGTCCACGTACCAATGGACAAAGGTTTATTATTTTTTTTATTACAATCTAGAGCAATTCGGACAAGAAACAAAAGAAAATCAAGAAACACAGCCAAGGAAATAAGCTTCAATTTAGTATCAAAGAGAGCTCCTTTATTTATTTAAAAATTATATCTATATGTTATATTAAAAGTTTATATACGTTTTTTTTTAATGTTTCATTATATTTATGTCAACCGACGTAATGTTTATCAAAACTTATTTTCACATTTTAAAATCGCAGTCACTTTAAAAATAGACGGGATTTTCCCTAAGTGCACAACTAATAATGCAAACAATAGACAAAGGTGTCAGCTCACTCAATGCTGTCAGCTGTCAACACGTGTGTGTTACGCGCGGGAAATTATCTGCTGCAAGTCGTTCGTGTGGTCTACAGCTAGCGCCAACAGAACTGCCGGATCAAATCTTCAAGGCTTGCCGAATACAGTTTACACGACAAGGGTACGTAACCCAAGAAAAGGCTGGAAAGTTTCAGTTATTTCTCTTGTAGCTGCGGCATGAATATTTCTAATTAAATTATTAAAATTAGCAATTAGTTATAGATCTACATGATAAAGACGGCTATTTGTAGAACCCAACATTTTCACTACAGTTTTCAACTTTCGTTGGCTTGATGTAACCTACAAAACTTGACCTTGACATTGAAATTTGCTGTGAAGGCGAGTCTGATAGTGAGCCGGGAAAACATGGCGGGTAACGTCACCAACACCACGGTCAAGGTAAGGGGGGGGGGGGGGGTGACAAGGTGAGGCATTTAACGGGGGGGGGGGGGGGCAAGTTGTGTTCAAGGGGTCTAGCACATTACGGTGGATGTGGGGGGGGGGGGGGGACAAGTTGTGTTCAAGGGGTCTAGCACATTACGGGGGATGTGGGGGGGGGGGGGGGCAAGTTGTGTTCAAGGGGTCTAGCACATTACGGGGGATGTGGGGGGGGGGGCAAGTTGTGTTCAAGGGGTCTAGCACATTACGGGGATGTGGGGGGGGGGGGCACAAGTTGTGTTCAAGGGGTCTAGCACATTACGGGGGATGTGGGGGGGGGGAGAGCAAGTTGTGTTCAAGGGGTCTAGCACATTACGGGGGATGTGGGGGGGGGGGGCACAAGTTGTGTTCAAGAATCTAGCACATTACGGGGGAAGGGGTGAGAAAGTCCCGGGGGATACTTGACGTGGTGAGGTGGGGGGGGGGGGGGGTCGGCGCTGTTCTAGGGGCAAGCATCAAACTGATCTGGAGCTGATCACGGTCAACAGGACTATTGCTGTTGGCAGATGGGAGTTGCCTGGGTACCGTGGACCGTATGAAATAGAAGGGGGGGGGGTGTAATACGTTTTGTTATTTAAGGAATGGTTGTGTTGAGATAGTGTTGGGGACGTGTCACTAAGTTCAGGATAACTTTTGTTGGAACTCCCATTGATGTGATCCTTTTATCTCCGTATTTTTTCAGGCTGAAACAAAGTTTAAGTTCTACGACGAGCCGTATGTTTTCTTTTTAAAATTTTCCTACCACACCCTCTCCCCAGTTCTCTCATTTTCTTTCTCACAACTTCTATCTCACAGTCTCTCTCTCTCTTTCTCTCCCCTCTCTCCCCCCTCCCCCCCCCTCCCCTCTCTCTCTCTCTCTCTCTATCTCTTCGTCCCTCTAATCGCATTGTATTTCTCCGTCTGTATCTCATACACTAAACATAGATTTGTTAAAGATAGGAAACTCATGATAATTGCCTATATTAATTACCTACCTCCCCTCACCCCCATTCCCCCCCCCCCCCCCCCCCCACCCGTACCCCAGTACCAGCCTGATGGAGGCGGCCACTATAACGACGACAGGGCTGTTTGTGGCTGGGGTTTTCTTCAACTGTATCGCCATTGGCGTCTTCAGCTCGAGGGTCTTCCAGTCCATGTCCTTCTCGGCCCACATGAAGATCATCTGCTGCTTCAACATCGCCGTGCTCCTCCTGGGCATGATCAGGCACCACTCCTTCATGCTGGATGTACACTCGAATACAGTTCATAGGTTTGGTTGCTCTGTATGGTGTACGGTTTGGTTTGTCTGCACGGCAGAAAAGTTTGGTTTGTCTGCACGGCAGAAAAGTTTGGTTTGTCTGTATGGTGTACGGCAGAAAAGTTTGGTTTGTCTGTATGGTGTACGGCAGAAAAGTTTGGTTTGTCTGTATGGTGTACGGCAGAAAAGTTTGGTTTGTCTGTACGACAGAAAAGTTTGGTTTGTCTGTACGACAGAAAAGTTTGGTTTGTCTGTACGACAGAAAAGTTTGGTTTGTCTGTATGGTGTACGGCAGAAAAGTTTGGTTTGTCTGTACGACAGAAAAGTTTGGTTTGTCTGTACGACAGAAAAGTTTGGTTTGTCTGTATGCTGTACGGCAGAAAAGTTTGGTTTGTCTGTACGAAAGAAAAGTTTGGTTTGTCTGTATGGTGTACGACAGAAAAGTTTGGTTTGTCTGTATGGTGTACGGCAGAAAAGTTTGGTTTGTCTGTACGACAGAAAAGTTTGGTTTGTCTGTACGGCAGAAAAGTTTGGTTTGTCTGTATGGTGTACGGCAGAAAAGTTTGGTTTGTCTGTATGGTGTACGGCAGAAAAGTTTGGTTTGTCTGTACGGCACTCGGGCAGATGAGGCTCGTTAGCTGGGGACAGCCACTCTTCTAGGAGAGACAACTCCGAAATCAAACAACTGCTGCCTTGTAGTTTGTTCTTGGTTGGACAAAGGCTATGGAAGCAAATCCAAAAGAAAATCAGGCTGAAATCGGAGTCAATGGCCTCACTGGCGCATAACCAGTTGACACGTAACGCTTAATTGTGTTGGAGGCGTGGTCGAGTCGGCAAAGCTGATGAATTCGAAAAAAGTCTCGAGTTCAAACCCTCTGTCAGATAAGCCTCGATCCCTCGCATCACTAAAAATTAAGAACGAAGAAGAAGAAGTCTGCACGGCAGAAAAGTTTGGTTTGTCTGCACGGCAGAAAAGTTTGGTTTGTTTTCGTGGTGAAAGTTACGACACAACACAAAGCCGTTGAATGAATGTATCACTGCCCACAACACAAAGCCGTTGAATGAATGTATCTGCCACAAAACCATTGAATGAATGTATCACTACCCACAACACAAAGCCGTTGAATGAATGTATCACTGCCCACAACACAAAGCCCTAGAATGAATGTATCACTACCCACAACACAAAGCCGTTGAGTGAATGTATTACTGCCCACAAAGCCGTTGAGTGAATGTATCACTACCCACAACACAAAGCCGTTGAATAAATGTATCACTGCCCACAACTCAAAGCCCTAGAATGAATGTATCACTACCCACAACTTAAAGCCCTAGAATGAATGTATCACTACCCACAACACAAAGCCATTGAATGAATGTATCACTACCCACAACTTAAAGCCCTAGAATGAATGTATCACTACCCACAACACAAAGCCGTTGAGTGAATGTATTACTGCCCACAAAGCCGTTGAGTGAATGTATCACTACCCACAACACAAAGCCGTTGAATGAATGTATCACTACCCACAACTTAAAGCCCTAGAATGAATGTATCACTACCCACAACACAAAGCCATTGAATGAATGTATTACTACCCACAACACAAAGCCGTTGAGTGAATGTATTACTGCCCACAACTCAAAGCCGTTGAGTGAATGTATCACTACCCACAACACAAAGCCGTTGAATGAATGTATCACTACCCACAACTTAAAGCCCTAGAATGAATGTATCACTACCCACAACACAAAGCCATTGAATGAATGTATCACTGCCCACAACACAAAGCCGTTGAATGAATGTATCTGCCACAAAACCATTGAATGAATGTACAACATCTCCCAACATCCACAGAATGAATGTACAACATCTCACAACATCAACAGAATGAATGTACAACATCTCCCAACAAAGCCGTTGAATGAATGTACAACATCTCACAACATCCACAGAATGAATGTACAACATCTCACAACAAAGCCGTTGAATGAATGTACAACATCTGACAACATCCACAGAATGAATGTACAACATCTCCCAACAAAGCCGTTGAATGAATGTACAACATCTCACAACATCCACGGAATGAATGTACAACATCTCACAACAAAGCCGTTGAATGAATGTACAACATCTCACAACATCCACAGAATGAATGTACAACATCTCACAACAAAGCCGTTGAATGAATGTACAACATCTCCCAACATCCACAGAATGAATGTACAACATCTCACAACAAAGCCGTTGAATGAATGTACAACATCTCACAACATCCACAGAATGAATGTACAACATCTCCCAACAAAGCCGTTGAATGAATGTACAACATCTCCCAACATCCACAGAATGAATGTACAACATCTCCCAACATCCACAGAATGAATGTACAACATCTCACAACATCCACAGAATGAATGTACAACATCTCACAACATCCACAGAATGAATGTACAACATCTCACAACATCCACAGAATGAATGTACAACATCTCCCAACATCCACAGAATGAATGTACAACATCTCCCAACATCCACAGAATGAATGTACAACATCTCCCAACATCCACAGAATGAATGTACAACATCTCACAACATCCACAGAATGAATGTACAACATCTCCCAACATCCACAGAATGAATGTACAACATCTCCCAACATCCACAGAATGAATGTACAACATCTCCCAACAAAGCCGTTGAATGAATGTACAACATCTCCCAACATCCACAGAATGAATGTACAACATCTCCCAACATCCACAGAATGAATGTACAACATCTCCCAACATCCACAGAATGAATGTACAACATCTCCCAACAAAGCCGTTGAATGAATGTACAACATCTCACAACATCCACAGAATGAATGTACAACATCTCACAACATCCACAGAATGAATGTACAACATCTCCCAACAAAGCCGTTGAATGAATGTACAACATCTCCCAACATCCACAGAATGAATGTACAACATCTCCCAACATCCACAGAATGAATGTACAACATCTCCCAACAAAGCCGTTGAATGAATGTACAACATCTCCCAACATCCACAGAATGAATGTACAACATCTCCCAACATCCACAGAATGAATGTACAACATCTCACAACATCCACAGAATGAATGTACAACATCTCCCAACATCCACAGAATGAATGTACAACATCTCCCAACAAAGCCGTTGAATGAATGTACAACATCTCCCAACATCCACAGAATGAATGTACAACATCTCCCAACATCCACAGAATGAATGTACAACATCTCCCAACATCCACAGAATGAATGTACAACATCTCACAACATCCACAGAATGAATGTACAACATCTCCCAACATCCACAGAATGAATGTACAACATCTCCCAACAAAGCCGTTGAATGAATGTACAACATCTCCCAACATCCACAGAATGAATGTACAACATCTCCCAACAAAGCCGTTGAATGAATGTACAACATCTCCCAACATCCACAGAATGAACTCGTTTAGCGTGTGCTTGTATGTCGTCTGGTTCATGTTGGTCATGGACAACTCGCGGGCTTTCAGCATCAGCTTGACCATCTACAACAGAATCAAGTGAGTCTCCACCCCCACCCCCCCCCCACCCCCACCTTCACCTCTTGACCATCTACAACAGAATCAAGTAAGTCTCCACCCCCACCCCCACCCCCACCGTCACCCCACGCACCTCTTGACCATCTACAACAGAATCAAAACCAACCTCCCCATACAACCATATAACCTCCCCACACAACCATGTAACATCCTCACACAACCATGTAACCTCCCCATACAACCATATAACCCCCCCACACAACCATGTAACATCCCCAAACAACCATATAACCTCCCCATACAACCATATAACCTCCCCATACAACCATATAACCTCCCCACACAACCATATAACCTCCCCACACACAAACAACCTCCCCATACAACCATCTAACCCCCCCCCAAAACAACCATCTAACCTCCCCACACAACCATGTAACCTCCCCATTCAACCATGTAACCTTCCCATTCAACCATATAACCTCCCTATACAACCATGTAACCTCCCCACACAACCAACCTCCCCATACAACCATATAACCTCCCCACACAACCAACCTCCCCATACAACCATATAACCTCCCCACACAACCAACCTCCCCACACAACCAACCTCCCCACACAACCATGTAACCTCCCCATACAACCATATAACCTCCCCACACAACCATATAACCTCCCCATTCAACCATCTAACCTCCCCACACAACCAACCTCCCCATACAACCATATAACCTCCCCACACAACCATCTAACCTCCCCACACAACCAACATCCCCATTCAACCATGTAACCTTCCCATTCAACCATATAACCTCCCCATACAACCATGTAACCTCCCCATACAACCATATAACCTCCCCACACAACCAACCTCCCCATACAACCATATAACCTCTTCATACAACCATCTAACCTCCCCACACAACCATGTAACCTTCCCATACAACCATATAACCTCCCCACACAACCATGTAACCTCCCCACACAACCAACCTTCCCACACAACCATATAACCTCCCCACACAACCATATAACCTCCCCACACAACCATGTAACCTCCCCACACAACCAACCTCCCCACACAACCATATAACCTCCCCACACAACCAAGTAACCTCCCCACACAACCATGTAACCTCCCCACACAACCAACCTTCCCACACAACCATATAACCTCCCCACACAACCAAGTAACCTCCCCACACAACCATATAACCTCCCCATACAACCAAGTAACCTCCCCACACAACCATGTAACCTCCCCACACAACCAACCTCCCCACACAACCAACCTTCCCACACAACCATATAACCTCCCCACACAACCAACCTCCCCACACAACCAAACTTCCCACACAACCATATAACCTCCCCACACAACCAACCTCCCCACACAACCAAGTAACCTCCCCATCAACGCGGTACCTCCACTGTGCTAGGGCCCAGCGGGTGCCAGACACCTACAGTAAGACGATCGAAGCGGTGCGGGTGCCAGTGTTGACCAACGCCTCCGTCATCCTCCTGTGTTCGGTGCCAGTCTCTAGCTACATTGAGGCCTACGACCAGTTGTATAGGAACACTAGCGACAGAGGGTGAGTTCAGTCTGGCTTGTCTGTCTCATGTCTTGGTTGTCTGTCTGTGGTCTGGCTTGTCTGTCTCATGTCTTGGTTGTCTGTCTGTGGTCTGGCTTGTCTGTCTCATGTCTTGGTTGTCTGTCTGTGGTCTGTCTGTGGTCTTGGTTGTTTGTCTGTGGTCTTGGTTGTTTGTCTTTCGTCTTAGTTGTTTGTCTGTGGTCTGTCGCATGTCTTAGTCGTCTGTCTGAGGTCTTTGTTGTCTGTCTGAGGTCTTGGTTGTCTGTCTGAGGTCTTGGTTGTCTCATGTCTTGGTTGTCTGTGTGAGGTCTTGGTTGTCTGTCTGAGGTCTTGGTTGTCTGTCTGCGGTCTTGGTTGTCTCATGTCTTGGTTGTCTGTCTGAGGTCTTGGTTGTCTGTCTGAGATCTTGGTTGTCTGTCTGAGGTCTTGGTTGTCTCATGTCTTGGTTGTCTGTCTGTGGTCTTGGTTGTTTGTCTGAGGTCTTGGTTGTCTGTCTGAGGTCTTGGTTGTCTCATGTCTTGTTTGTCTGTCTGAGGTCTTGGTTGTCTGTCTGAGGTCTTGGTTGTCTGTCTGAGGTCTTTGTTGTCTGTCTGGATCTTGTTAGCCTTTTTAACATCGAAGATCTTTGTTGGCGTTTTGTTTTACACGATGTGTAAATAACCTACGGTACTACCCCGCCACAGAACACCCACCAACTACATCGTAGATTAAACTACACTCCCCCCCCCCCCCTCCACATCAGTAGCACATTTCGCAACGTAGGTCAAGTTTAAAAAATAAACATCGAATGCGGTTATTGATGTGAAATGGGATATACAATCTACAAGAGTGGCTGTTGGTCTTCTAAGAATCGATATTTGCTTACCTTTGTGCAGTTGTAGGTGTTCTAAGAATCGATATTTGCTTACCTTTGTGCAGTTGTAGGTGTTCTAAGAATCGATATGTGCTTACCTTTGTGCAGTTGTAGGTGTTCTAAGAATCGATATTTGCTTACCTTTGGGCAGGTGTAGCTGTAGGTGTTCTAAGAATCGATATCTGCTTACCTTTGTGCAGGTGTAGCTGTAGGTGTTCTAAGAATCGATATCTGCTTACCTTTGGGCAGGTGTAGCTGTAGGTGTTCTAAGAATCGATATTTGCTTACCTTTGTACAGGTGTGGCTGTTGGTGTTCTAAGAATCGAGATTTGCTTACCTTTGGGCAGGTGTAGCTGTAGGTGTTCTAAGAATCGATATTTGCTTACCTTTGGGCAGGTGTAGCTGTAGGTGTTCTAAGAATCGATATTTAATTACTTTTGTGCAGGTGTGGCTGTTGGTGTTCTAAGAATCGATATTTGCTTACCTTTGGGCAGGTGTGGCTGTTGGTGTTCTAAGAATCGATATCTGCTTACCTTTGGGCAGGTGTAGCTGTAGGTGTTCTAAGAATCGATATCTGCTTACCTTTGTGCAGGTGTAGCTGTAGGTGTTCTAAGAATCGATATCTGCTTACCTTTGGGCAGGTGTAGCTGTAGGTGTTCTAAGAATCGATATGTGCTTACCTTTGGGCAGGTGTAGCTGTAGGTGTTCTAAGAATCGATATGTGCTTACCTTTGGGCAGGTGTAGCTGTTGGTGTTCTAAGAATCGATATGTGCTTACCTTTGTGCAGGTGTAGTTGTAGGTGTTCTAAGAATCGATATGTGCTTACCTTTGTACAGGTGTGGCTGCTGGTGTTCTAAGAATCGATATTTGCTTACCTATGTGCAGGTGTAGTTGTAGGTGTTCTAAGAATCGATATTTGCTTACCTTTGTACAGGTGTGGCTGTAGGTGTTCGAAGAATCGATATTTGCTTACCTTTGGGCAGGTGTAGCTGTTGGTGTTCTAAGAATCGATATTTGCTTACCTTTGGGCAGGTGTAGCTGTTGGTGTTCTAAGAATCGATATTTGCTTACCTTTGGGCAGGTGTAGCTGTAGGTGTTCTAAGAATCGATGTTTGCTTACCTTTGTGTAGGTGTGGCTGTTGGTGTTCTAAGAATCGATATTTGCTTACCTTTGTGTAGGTGTGGCTGTTGGTGTTCTAAGAATCGATGTTTGCTTACCTTTGTGTAGGTGTAGTTGTAGGTGTTCTAAGAATCGATATTTGCTTACCTTTGTGTAGGTGTAGCTGTTGGTGTTCTAAGAATCGATATTTGCTTACCTTTGTGCAGGTGTAGCTGTTGGTGTTCTAAGAATCGATATTTGCTTACCTTTGGGCAGGTGTAGCTGTTGGTGTTCTAAGAATCGATATTTGCTTACCTTTGGGCAGGTGTAGGTGTTATAAGAATCGATATTTGCTTACCTTTGGGCAGGTGTAGCTGTTGGTGTTCTAAGAATCGATATTTGCTTACCTTTGTGTAGGTGTAGTTGTTGGTGTTCTAAGAATCGATATTTGCTTACCTTTGTGTAGGTGTAGTTGTTGGTGTTCTAAGAATCGATATTTGCTTACCTTTGTGCAGGTGTGGCTGTAGGTGTTCTAAGAATCGATATTTGCTTACCTTTGTGCAGGTGTAGGTGTTCTAAGAATCGATATCTGCTTACCTTTGTGCAGGTGTGGCTGTAGGTGTTCTAAGAATCGATATTTGCTTACCTTTGTGCAGGTGTAGGTGTTCTAAGAATCGATATTTGCTTACCTTTGTGCAGGTGTGGCTGTAGGTGTTCTAAGAATCGATATTTGCTTACCTTTGTGCAGGTGTAGGTGTTCTAAGAATCTATATTTGCTTACCTTTGTGCAGGTGTAGCTGTTGGTGTTCTAAGAATCGATATTTGCTTACCTTTGGGCAGGTGTAGCTGTAGGTGTTCTAAGAATCGATATTTGCTTACCTTTGTGCAGGTGTAGGTGTTCTAAGAATCGATATTTGCTTACCTTTGTGCAGTGCAGGTGTAGCTGTTGGTGTTCTAAGAATCGATATTTGCTTACCTTTGTGCAGGTGTAGCTGTAGGTGTTCTAAGAATCGATATTTGCTTACCTTTGTGTGGCTGTAGGTGTTCTAAGAATCGATATTTGCTTACCTTTGTGCAGGTGTAGCTGTAGGTGTTCTAAGAATCGATATTTGCTTACCTTTGTGTGGCTGTAGGTGTTCTAAGAATCGATATTTGCTTACCTTTGTGCAGGTGTAGCTGTAGGTGTTCTAAGAATCGATATTTGCTTACCTTTGTGTGGCTGTAGGTGTTCTAAGAATCGATATTTGCCTATCTTTGATCAGGTGTGCACTGGGATTCCTGAGGCCTTACGAGGGCATGCACCTGTCGAGAATTTTGATGAGCAACCTGTCGCTGATGGAGGAGACCTTGAACGTCTTCCTGATCGTCGTTCTCTTCATCGAGATCATCTTGCGGCACTCGCGTCTGAGGAAACAGCTGGCCAAGAAGGTGTGTACACACGTGACGCACGTGACGAGCTTTGTCACGTGTTGTCACGCCACGTCAGAGACACGTCACAGACACTTGTGCTGGTTTTGTAGCGCTCAGCAGGCGGGTCTTCAACCACATATTTCATCATAGGCTGCCGACCACATATTTCATCATAGGCTGCCGACCACATATTTCATCATAGGCTGCCGACCACATATTTCATCATAGGCAGCCGACCACATATTTCATCATAGGCTGCCGACCACATATTTCATCATAGGCTGCCGACCACATATTTCATCATAGGCTGCCGACCACATATTTCATCATAGGCTGCCGACCACATATTTCATCATAGGCAGCCGACCACATATTTCATCATAGGCTGCCGACCACATATTTCATCATAGGCTGCCGACCACATATTTCATCATAGGCTGCCGACCACATATTTCATCATAGGCAGCCGACCACATATTTCATCATAGGCTGCCGACCACATATTTCATCATAGGCAGCCGACCACATATTTCATCATAGGCTGCCGACTACATATTTCACCATAGGCTGCCGACCACATATTTCATCATAGGCTGCCGACCACATATTTCATCATAGGCTGCCGACCACATATTTCATCATAGGCTGCCGACCACATATTTCATCATAGGCTGCCGACCACATATTTCATCATAGGCTGCCGACCACATATTTCATCATAGGCTGCCGACCACATATTTCATCATAGGCTGCCGACCACATAATTCATTATAGGCTGCCGACCACATATTTCATCATAGGCTGCCGACCACATATTTCATCATAGGCTGCCGCCTACATATTTCACCATAGGCTGCCGACCACATATTTCCACATGAATCTTCGATCACATATCTCTACATGAGCCATCAATCACATATTACAACATTGGCCGTCTACCATACATTGCCTCCAGCCGCTCCCATTACCCCGAGAGCCTGGCTACGCCCCTGACTCAACTAAAGCAATAACAGTAAATAATAGTTGTGTTTTTTTCAATCTGTTTCCGGTTGCTGCAGGTGGATGCAAGGGGAAGTAGTGACGAACATGTTTTAAGTTTTGACAGTAAGAAAACTGCAACCTTTTCTCGTGTAACATCACGAGTCGGGATAGTTAATAGAGATGACATACAAGGTAGGTCGGTCGAAAAGAGGAAATATTACACACACATACACACACACACACACACACACACACACATATATATATATATATATATATATATATATATATATATATATATATATATATATATATATATATATATATATGTATATGTATATTTTTAATTAACTAATTGGTTAGTCAATTAGTATTTTAATGATGTATGTATTAATTTAAATAGTTCATTTTATTCTTTTTTTACATATATTATTTCATGAATAGATAAATGTATTTATTTGTTTTTGTATTTGTTTTATTTCCCGTAATGCCACTGTGGTGGTAGCAGAAGGCACATTTGACTTGGGAGCCAATAAATATTCGATGGACGCGTCAGCTCAGATTTCTGACGTCAGTCTGCCAACGGGGTTTGATTACAAGGACGATGAAACCAATAAGGAGTACTGCGCTACCAGTATGACGGGTAAGGTCACTGGCAGAAAGGTCAAAGGTCACTTATCTCATCACGTCCCCCGTGTCACGTCAATTCATGCATCTCATCACTCCCCAATTCTCATGTTGTGATGGTCGTCATGCACCTCATTCCATCCTGTCACGTTAATGTGTGCACCTGATCACGTCCATCCTGTCACGTTGATGTGTGCACCTAATCACGTCCATCCTGTCACGTTAATGTGTGCACCTGATCACGTCCATCCTGTCACGTTGATGTGTGCACCTGATCACGTCCATCCTGTCACGTTGATGTGTGCACCTGATCACGTCCATCCTGTCACGTTGATGTGTGCACCTGATCACGTCCATCCTGTCACGTTGATGTGTGCACCTGATCACGTCCATCCTGTCACGTTGTGTATGCACCTGATCACGTCCATCCTGTCACGTTAATGTGTGCACCTGATCACGTCCATCCTGTCACGTTAATGTGTGCACCTGATCACGTCCATCCTGTCACGTTGTGTATGCACCTGATCACGTCCATCCTGTCACGTTAATGTGTGCACCTGATCACGTCCATCCTGTCACGTTAATGTGTGCACCTGATCACGTCCATCCTGTCACGTTGATGTGTGCACCTGATCACGTCCATCCTGTCACGTTGATGTGTGCACCTGATCACGTCCATCCTGTCACGTTGTGTATGCACCTGATCACGTCCATCCTGTCACGTTAATATGTGCACCTGATCACGTCCATCCTGTCACGTTAATGTGTGCACCTGATCACGTCCATCCTGTCACGTTAATGTGTGCACCTGATCACGTCCATCCTGTCACGTTGATGTGTGCACCTGATCACGTCCATCCTGTCACGTTGTGTATGCACCTGATCACGTCCATCCTGTCACGTTAATGTGTGCACCTGATCACGTCCATCCTGTCACGTTAATGTGTGCACCTGATCACGTCCATCCTGTCACGTTGATGTGTGCACCTGATCACGTCCATCCTGTCACGTTGTGTATGCACCTGATCACGTCCATCCTGTCACGTTAATGTGTGCACCTGATCACGTCCATCCTGTCACGTCAATTCATTCACCTCAACATCCCATCCTGTCACGCTAATGTGTGCACCTGATCACGATTTGTCACGCCAGTTGTGATGGTCTTCATGCACCTGATGACGTCAGCCCCCCGACGTCTCCAACACACCCTGTTTGTGACGGCCATCTTCCCTGAGCTGCGTGTGACGTCCTTTGAGATCATGTGTGTGCTGGACGTGCTGCAGTACGTCTACCACGCCTTCATGTTCCTCTTGCTGTGTCTCACAGGTTCGCTCTATAGGTCGGAGGCCTTCAGGGTGCTCTTCCAGGTACGTTGGTCAAACTTTGTACAAGCAGCTCACTTACTCACACATTGTACCAGCACTCACTCACTCACACATTGTACCAGCACTCACTCACACATTGTACCAGCACCTCACTCACTCACACATTGTACCAGCACCTCACTCACTTACACATTATACCAGCACCTCACTCACACATTGTACCAGCACTTCACTCACTCACACACACATTGTACCAGCACTTTACTCACTCACACATTGTACCAGCACTTCACTCACTCACACATTGTACCAGCACTTCACTCACACATTGTACCAGCACTTCACTCACTCACACATTGTACCAGCACTTCACTCACACATTGTACCAGCACTTCACTCACACATTGTACCAGCACTTCACTCACTCACACATTGTACCAGCACTTCACTCACACATTGTACCAGCACTTCACTCACACATTGTACTAGCACTTCAATCACTCATACATTTTACCAGCACCTCACTCACTCACACATTGTACTAGCACTTCAGTCACACATTTTACCAGCACATCACTTACTCAATCACACATTGTACCAGCACTTAACTCACACATTGTACTAGCACTTCAATCACTCACAATTTGTACCAGCACTTCACTCACACATTGTACTAGCACTTCAATCACTCACACATTGTACCAGCACTTCACTCACTCACACATTGTACCAGCACCTCACTCACACATTGTACTAGCACTTCAATCACTCACACATTGTACCAGCACCTAATTCACACATTGTACCAGCACCTCACTCACACATTGTACCAGCACCTCACTCACACATTGTACTAGCACTTCAATCACTCACACATTGTACCAGCACCTCACTCACTCACTCACACATTGTACCAGCACCTCACTCAGACATTGTACCAGCACCTCACTCACACATTGTACTAGCACTTCAATCACTCACACATTGTACCAGCACCTCACTCACTCACACATTGTACCAGCACCTCACTCACTCACTCACACATTGTACCAGCACCTCACTCACACATTGTACCAGCCCCTCACTCACACATTGTACCAGCCCCTCACTCACTCACACATTGTACCAGCCCCTCACTCACACATTGTACCAGCCCCTCACTCACTCACACATTGTACCAGCCCCTCACTCACACATTGTACCAGCCCCTCACTCACTCACACATTGTACCAGCACTTCACTCACTCACACATTGTACCAGCCCCTCACTCACTCACACATTGTACCACATGGAAGTATTACTTGGCAGCTGACATCATACAACCAACACTTTTATCTTATTGTTTGTGCTGAACCCTACAACACTCTCACCCTACTGTCAATAAACCGGGAGTGATCTCCCCTAAAATTTCTCGAATATTCTAATATAAAATTACGAGGGATGGCATCTCAGGACGTAGAAAATATTTGTTATCCATTTTTAATTACTTAAACTTTTTATAAAAGAATAGAATCTCGTAAAAAAAAAAGAATTGCACTCCAAGTGAAAAGTTTCCCTTTCAAACCTTACGGTCTATGGGGCAAGTGAAGTAGAGTTCACTTGTTTCTGTGACCTCGGCATATGAAGAGATAGTGTGGTCAGCACTATGCCCAGCCACCTATACTTTCCCTAACAGGAGTTGGAACCCATCAGAGTTGGGTGGACTCAGGGACGGTCTACTGACTTGAACTCGGATTTGAACTCGAGACTAACGCCTAATAAAATGTGTATAAAAGTGCGGGATATTATTAGTACTTTATAAATTTACTTGCGTTTTTTTGAGAAATCGGAAATAGCGTAAATTAGTACTTCCGGTCAACGGAAATTACTCAAAATTTGACAGAAGGTAGAGAATTAGCTTTTTTACATACGTGTGAAATTTCATGCATCTATCTAAAATAGTACGCAACTTATAGGCTTTTGAAAAATTCAAGAAAAAAGTACCACTTCCGGTTATCGGAAATCGCTCAAAAGTTGATCAGGATCTACGATTTTGATAAAATACTTATATATGAAATTTCATCAACCTAGCTGTAACGGTACTCAAGTTATCGTGTTTACACACAGACAGACACACAGACACACAGATATACGGACAGAATTGCAAAGTCCAGTTTTTACGACTCGATAACGCATAAAACGCCAAAACGTTTATATATTTGTATTTATAATTTTTGCCTGATTAAAATAAGTCCTCTATACTCCGGATGTGATGAAGGACTGAGGAGTAAAACGGTGAAAACTGTCAAAATTTCATGTTATTTTTGTGCACGACTACAAAACTTTCTCCATACTTCGTATATACGAGAAAGTAAAAATGGAACTCTTATCCTCACTGGCAAATGGCGACAGAAATAACCAAAATCTGTTTAACCATGTTTACCCCTCCAACAAATTATGATATAATTTAACCTAGAACAAAATAGTTATCTGAACATTTTTTTTAAACTGTGTCCTGGACATAGTTCTAAAGAACACACTGTATCACAGTTTATAGCTTACACTAGTGGTCAGGTTGGCCCACAAGTGGTCCCGTTGGCCCACAAGTGCTCCTGTTGGTCCACAAGTGGTCCTATTGGCCCACAAGTGGTCCCGTTGGCCCACAAGTGGTCCTGTTGGAACACAAATGGTCCTGTTGGAACACAAGTGGTCCCGTTGGCCCACAAGTGGTCCTGTTGGAACACAAATGGTCCTGTTGGAACACAAGTGGTCCCGTTGGCCCACAAGTGGTCCTGTTGGAACACAAATGGTCCTGTTGGAACACAAGTGGTCCCGTTGGAACACAAATGGTCCTGTTGGAACACAAGTGGTCCCGTTGGCCCACAAGTGGTCCTGTTGGAACACAAATGGTCCTGTTGGAACACAAGTGGTCCCGTTGGCCCACAAGTGGTCCCGTTGGCCCATAAGTTGTCCTGTTGAAATACAAGTGGTCCTGTTGGAAGAAGTGGGGTACTAGCTTCGACTAGTTTCTTAGTTTTGTCCTCTCTTAGCGGCCAGCAATATAGCAGCCATTTTGATTCTATTTATAGGTCTACGAGCCCGCCTCCCCCGTCACGCTGTCCGTAGAACACTTAGCTAACGAGCCCGACTCTACAGGAGCGACACGTTGTCCGTAGAACACTTAGCTAACGAGCCCGACTCTACAGGAGCGACACGTTGTCCGTAGAACACTTAGCTAACGAGCCCGACTCTACAGGAGCGACTATGTAAAACCGACACAGCATACAGACACATTCTTCTCATAAACTTTTATTGTAAACAGATTCAATTGTTTCTTTGAAAATAATAAAATATCTAGTTGTCAAAGATTGTAAAGTCGATTTTTTTCTTGACCTCTGTCCTTGACCCCGCTAGACGGATCCACCAGCGGTCAGTTCCAACATGTCGCTGGCCACTGCTACCAGGATGATGAACAATCTCTTGCGCCGGACGATAGATTCGTCATTCACAGAAACCAGAGCACGTAATGTCTGCCTCATGTCTGTCTCTTGCTGGTCTCTTCATAGTCTGTGTTTGTCTGTCTGAAGTCTATAGTGTGTCTCTTCATAGTCTATGTTTGTCTGTCTCAAGTCTATAGTGTGTCTCTTCATAGTCTATGTTTGTCTGTCTGAAGTCTATAGCGTGTCTCTTCATAGTCTATGTTTGTCTGTCTCAAGTCTATAGTGTGTCTCTTCATAGCCTATGTTTGTCTGTCTCAAGTCTATAGCGTGTCGCTTCATAGTCTATGTTTGTCTGTCTCAAGTCTATAGCGTGTCTCTTCATAGTCTATGTTTGTCTGTCTGAAGTCTATAGCGGTGTCTCTTCATAGTCTATGTCTGTCTGTCTGAAGTCTATAGCGTGTCTGTTCACAGTCTGCTATGTCTGTCTGCTGAACACAGTCTTGTAGGTAGTCTTGATTTATTGTCTGTCTGCTGTAGATAGTCTTGGTTTATTGTCTGTCCCTGTCCTACCAATCCCTCCTGTCCAGTCTGTCTTTGCCTCCAGACATGACTTTCACTGATCTATGTCTGTCTCCGCGTGTCTCAGACTATGTGTCTCAGACTATGTGTCTCAGTCTATGTGTCTCAGTCTATATGTCTCCAGCCTGTGTCAACAAACACCTACACACACACATATATATACATACATACACTCACCTGTTAACCAAAAAAAGGTGGGCTTTATGCTGTCCTTGTATACACAGTAGAAAGTAATGTCTAATTGGGCTCAAGATCTCCATTAAATTGCCATGTTCGATACGTCAACCCAGTCCAATATGAAAGTCATAGATTAGTTGGCGACTATTTACATTCTACTTGTGACAAAGTGAGATGGACATAATGTACAGTGTAACAAGAGAACACAAGACAATCGTAATGCTGGTTTACAAGTTTAGAGACTGTGCACACAATATATAACACACAACAACAGAGGTGTAGTGTTTATCTTGATATATCATGTTGTGAGGGGCGGGGTTGTCAGGAAGCGTGTTCGAGTTTGTTTTTTTGTTTTTTTGCCACGAGTTCTACCGAATTGAACCCGGATTTGAACTCGACTTTTTCGGGATAGAAGTCCAGCGCTCTACCACTAGACAAGGAGTTTTTTCCAGGCATCTCTTCGAAGAAGGTCTCCCGCTGCCCCCCCCCCCCCTGAAAATTTCAATTAAAGTGCACCCCCCCCCCCCCCCCCCCCGCGGAGAAAAATCTCCGGAAACACTGCAGGGCCGTCCCCAAAATAATGTGGATGGTGTGTGTTAAATTTGTGTATAACGTTATCTGGGGTGGGGTAGTGGGTGAAACTGTCTTATGGAAAAGCTGTAAGACCCTTAGACGCCATTCAATGTTGATAGAAGAGGAATGTGTGTGAATAAACATATATGGTAATCACTTCAAAATTATAAAATTCGAATTTACCAAGGGAGACAAACAATAACCATGCTTAATAAAGTTGTTTAAAAATTAAATGAAGTTAAATTAATTCAATAGCAACACAATATAAATGGAGGATCCGTATTTATAATTGTACAAATGTGGAGGCCACTTTTTATATATTTTTTTATATCGTAGATTTTAGATCTATCACTTGTCGGAAATACAAAATATGTAAACTTGCTAAAGATTCAATGCTATTCACCATAGAGTTTCAATTTTCGCTTCATTTTTTAAAATAAATTTCTCAAAAGAATGAAAATAAAATTTCGCTTACAAACACCTATGTATTTAGATATGACCGAAAGATGTAGGTATAGACGGCCAATGTAATCCAAAGGCTAACTGTATAAAAACTACACAAAGAATTCTCACTAGCTAAACTATCAAAAATTAGTGGACCAGTTAAACATTCGGCTTTCTCTCATAATTCTACATCTTTTATCATTCAATATATATATATATATATATATATATATATATATATATATATATATATATATATATATATCTAATATATAAAGCTCAGTTCTGTATGTAATGCATTTGTATGTCGTTGGAAGTGTACGAATTTAAAAGTTAGAAAATTATCGTGCGCATTTGTCTAAATTTATGAGCTAAAAAATTACTATTGAAAGTGTTGGGAAATAATTTTCATTTTTCAAATTATAGTAATAATTGTCGGCATGTTCATTAAACACAAGTTTTAAAAAAAAATCATCTTTTACAAAAATTCTAATTATGTCTTTATTTAGTCCTATAGCACTTACTTCCCTTTGATAAATTAGGAAAAACACAATTACTTCCCTTTATAAACCCATTGCATTCCGTGAAAATAATTTACTTTTTAATTACTTTGTTTTGGTGTTGGGAAAAAAAAAAATAATTACATAATTAGCGGGGATTGATCAAGTGCAAATGTTGTAGGTATTTTACGGATAAGCTTGGAGTATTATAATTGTTCATTAAATTGAAACAGGCGCGTTCGTTTAAGTGAGTGCAAAAACTATGAATAAGTTGGGGTACTATAGTCGTTTATTAAGCTAAAACAGGCGATTCTGCCCCGGGCGTTTATGTTCGCGTTAGTGTTTTCTTTGTGTTTAGGTGGGTTTGCGTTAGTGGTTGCGTTTTGATTTGGTTCGTTTTTGTTCTTTCTTTTTTCGTTTTTGTTTGTGTTTTTTTTGTTTGGGTTTGTATTTGTGTTTTTGGTTGGTTTTGCGTTTGGATTTGGTTTGTTTTCGTTCTTTCTTTTTTCGTTTTTGTTTGTGTTTTTTTGTTTGGGTTTGTATTTGTGTTTTTGGTTGGTTTTGCGTTTGGATTTGGTTTGTTTTCGTTTGCTTTTTCGTTTTTTTTTTTGTTGGTATTAGTGTTTGTGGTTGGGTTTGTTGTTAGGTTTTTGTTTTCGTTTGCTTTTTTGTTTGTTTTTTCTTTGTGTTTGTATTGGTGTTTGTGGTTGTGGTTGGGTTTGTTGTTAGGTTTTTGTTTTCGTTTGTATTTGTAATTGTGTTAGCGTTATGTTTGCGTTTTGTTGTTTTGGTTGGTTGTGGTTTGGGTGGGCAATGCCGGGTTTATGATGATTACTAAACAGACAGGTAATGGTCTTTAACAGAAAGGTTTTTCACAGAAGCCAGAGCAGGGCCTGGCCGGGACGGCTAGTATATATATATATATATATATATATATATATATATATATATATATATATATATATTATCGCCTTCTAGCATATTTTATCACCTCCAGGACATAGTATCATCATTACTTTCTTGTATCACCTCCAGCATCACCATCACTGTCTTGTATCACCACCAGCACATACCATCACCATTACTGTCTTGTATCACCTCCAGCATCACCATCACTGTCTTGTATCACCACCAACACATACCATCACCATCACTGTCTTGTGTCACCCCCCCCCCCCCCCAGTGTCCACAGCATCTAAAGAGTACGGCGCCATCATTGAGAACTTCGAGCTGGACCGGGACGCCCTCATGCTAATGCCCTCAGAGAAGATCTCAGAGGACGCGCCGGAGACCTACCACCAGCACATCAACGTCTCCAAGGACGACAGCCTCAGTATGAGCAACTGCGAGAGCTTCGACTCCGAGACGGACCTGGACAAGGCCAAGGTCGACTGCAGCGAGGTCCGGTTCCGGAAGTTGATTCGGGAGCGTCACAACAAGAAGAAGATAGACAAACAGAAGCTGAGCGAGAGGAAGAAGCAGGAGAGGGAAAAGGAAATTGTTCAAGTCGGTACAGAAATTACTTAAGTCAACTCATTGACGCGCTAAAATCAAAAGTTTCTTTCTACTACATCCTTGTTTGATAAATAACCTAGACGAAATTTCTGCTACATCCCTGTTTGATAAATAACCTAGAAGAAATTTCGAACTGCACTCTCGTATTATATTAATGACAACATTTCACCATCAATAGGTTTTCTTGTATTCATTATTAAATTTCTATCAAATTTTACACATAAAGCTTGAATTAAAATAAATTGTGCGTCTTTCAGCGAGCGTTATATTTATAAGCACATGTGTCAAATACAAAAAGAATAAAGCGAAAAGTAATTTTACCTTTGTTTAAACTTTAAAAAAAAAGAGTGATTAGTTCTTATAACTCTTACAACACTCCTCGAGTTTGAAATATATTCACTGTTATTTCCCTTAGATATTGTTTTTCCAATGCGAACTCATAAAGATGACAAATAGAGATGAACACATGTAAATCTGAGTGGACTTATGAACACAGAATGGTCTCTAGCTTTATATTTCATTTACACACGTCTACAATGTATCTAGCTTTATATTTCATTTACACACGTCTACAATGTATCTAGCTTTATATTTCATTTACATACGTCTACAATGTATCTAGCTTTACATTTCATTTACACACGTCTACAATGTATCTAGCTTTATATTTCATTTACACACGTCTACAATGTATCTAGCTTTACATTTCATTTACACACGTCTACAATGTATCTAGCTTTATATTTCATTTACACACGTCTACAATGTATCTAGCTTTATATTTCATTTACACACGTCTACAATGTATCTAGCTTTACATTTCATTTACACAAGTCTACGGTTTATATTAAAATACATCTTTCAAACTTGTTTGTTACATCTTTGAAAATTTGTTACATCTTTGAATGTTTGCTACATCTTTGAAAGCTTATTACATCTTTGAAAGTTTGTTACATTATACGGCATCATGCGGTTGTGTTAGAGCCAGGCCAGTAGCTCCCCACGGCGGGGTGGGGGTGTAGGGGTGGCGCAGGTCAAGGGTGGGGCGACCCCGAGTGAAATGTCCAAACATTTACAGAGACAAAACCTGATTGATCCAGTTCTAGTAATGACTGACTTAACTACATTAGCGATCACATGTTAACAACATCCGACATAGTTTCAGGGGAAGTATGACGTGGTGTGTGTGACGTGTGTGACCTGGTGTGTGTGACGTGGTGTGTTTGACGTGGTTTGTGTGACGATGTGTGTGTGACGTGTGTGACCTGATGTGTGTGACCTGGTGTGTGTGACGTGTTGTGTTTGACGTGGTTTGTGTGACGATGTGTGTGTGACGTGGTGTGTGCTACGTGGTGTGTGACGTGGTGTATGAAGTGGTGTATGACGTGAGGTCTAAAGTAATGGGTGATGTAAAGTTTGATGATGTGTATGGCATGGTGTGTGACGTGGTGTGACGTTGTATGTGTGACTTGGTGTGTAGTGACGTGGTGTGTGACGATATGTGTGACGTAGTGTGCATGACGTGGTATGTGTGACGTGGTGTTTGACGTGGTGTGTGATGTTGTGGTTGCCGTGATGTGTGGGGAGGCTTGTGTGTAACACTAGGACAAAAATAGTTTGCATGTGTGTAGCGGAAGGGAAGGGGTGACAGTGACACCAGCTTGACACACATTCACTGCCAGATATTAGAATTACAGGCGGGATGTTACAAATTGAACACCCACGACAAATTTGATAACGTTTACACATGAAGCGATCTGTTCTGAGTTGTTGAAAATCTTTGTTTTTCTCAATGTAGGCCTATACGGGACAAAAGAAAGCTTTTTGCTTGATTGCGATAAATATCGGATGCTGTTGGTGACCTTTTGAACAGTACAGTAAACAGTACCATACAATTTGTTGAAAGGGGGAGAGGGGCGAGGCTGTTTCTCCGTAGTTTTAAGATTTAAGAAAAAAACACTTTGTTTTTCATTGTACACAATTAGTGCATATTTACAATGTATTCTTTTTATGCCTATGTACAAATTAACACTCATTTCACCAATGTAATGTCAGTAAACACATTTCACCAATGTAAAGTCAGTAAACCATCTTTAATTATAGGAACCAGTTTTAAGAGGGCCTCCAGCTGTTTCTGTTTGTGTTTTAAATCAGTAGTTCCCCACCAAGACGTAAGATGATTCTCCTAGAGTAGTATCATTTTACGACAACCACGAGGACTGCTGCTGTTTGATGACCTTTGAAGTTTCTTATATAATCCATGGATAAAATATTTTAGACATTGTTTTAGAAATACTATTTTAAAAAAAACGATTACCACAACAGTCTTAACCTGAGTGTACAGGAATTTGTTTAGTTTACACCACGACATTCTGGGTGTACAGGAAAATGTTTAGTTTATACCTCGACATTCTGGGTGTACAGGAATTTGTTTAGTTTACACCACAGCAATCTAAACCTGGATGTACATGAATTTGTTTTGTTTACACCACGACATTCAATGTTTCCATTGGATACATTGGCGCTTGTTAGTTTTTGTTTCTGATTAAGTCCTGATTTACGTCATCTGGAATAATCAGCTCAGTTTTCAAATCGTATAATTAGCCTTCACGTTGATTGGTCATTATATCGATTAGATCTGCCGTCCTTAATTTCCCAAATAAAAGAGTTAATACTGATCCAGGCTCAGGCAATGGGCAGACAACCGATTATTTTTCCTGCGAGATTTATAATCGCCCTTAGTGTACCAGCTTGGCACCCCGTCGTTGCTCGCCGTGTCAAGGGGTGACGAGTGTGATCAAGGGCCGTAAGTCTGTAATGTCCTCTCACAGCCCCCCCCCCTCCTCCTGTTCTCACCCTCTGACATTTACGTCACAAAAACTAGTGTTGTGGTAAAAAAAATTCCCTTGTTGCCGTTTTAAATACTAGATGAAGGTCAAGGTTGATCTGCACGCATGGCGGTAATTTGTGATTCCAATCAACTTACCCCCGCCCTACGTTAATTATGGTTCCAATCAACTTACCACTACCCTAGGTTAATTGGTGATTCCAATCAACTTACACTGCCCATGTTAATAATGGTTCCTATTAACTGACCACTGCCCTAGGTTAATTGGTGATTCCAATCAACTTACCACTACCCTAGGTTAATTGGTGTTTCCAATCAACTTACACTGCCCATGTTAATAATGGTTCCTATTAACTGACCACTGCCCTAGGTTAATTGGTGATTCCAATCAACTTACCACTGCCCTGATGCACCCGACCCAGGGGAATGTAAGACCCCGTCCCAAATTTGATTACAGCGTCAATCGCTGGGCTGCCCTCGTCTGCCCTCGTCATGTGTTGACGAAATGTAGGGAGGGCATAATTTCCCCAGATGTCGATTCTGCCCTTCTCGTTTTTACCCACGATTTTCCCCGAGAGCTGATAACCCGAGTGTACCGGTCAATATTCCGTGTCCCCGGCGTCACATAACGGGGCGTCAAGTCAACTGACCCAGCGATTTCCGGAGGTTACGGAACAGTGCATAAAACCGGCACATATTATTCACATTGCAAATGTTTATGGGAATATTTGATATTTCACAATCCCAACCTTCGAACGTCTTGTTCTAAACCAGGGGTCTCCAAACTTTTCAGCCCGAGGGCCGCATTAACTATCAAATATTAGTTCGGGGGCCAGAGTTTCTTCCAGGCATCTCTTCGGGGTAGCTGAAATGCCTTTAGTTGGGTGTATAGAAACTATATTTCCCTCTCTTATAGCTATGGGTTCAGAAAATTTCAATGACTAGTTATGTTTGCAGCAGAGGCCAATTGCTATACCCATTCTTCACCAGACATTTATGGACGTGGCTTGCCTACTTTCCAGGAAGTCACCTATTTCCTTTCTTAACTTAAATACTCTGCTCAGAAGTTTCTCACAACTTAGCCATCGTACTGCTGTGTAATATAGTAAATATTGCGATTCTGTGTTTGTATCTTTCAACATGTCGCTAAACTATCTAGGGTTAAGCCCATATGACCTTATTAAATTCACCATCTTCGTTAGAGTATTCAGTACACAGCTTAAGTCCATATATTTAGCACACAAAGCTTGCCGTTTTCACCAATGTCTGTAAAACGGCGGGCAATGGTATTGCAACCAAAGCTACATTTTCAAATTATTTTGAATTTTCTGGGCAAAGTTCCTCAGCCACCTCCAAGAAACATTTTTTCCCGTGGACAAAAAGATCTCCGCGGGCCGGATGAGAGGACCTCGCGGGCCGCATCCGGCCCGCGGGCCGTAGTTTGGAGACCCCTGTTCTAAACAAATGCTCATCACAATGGAAAAGAACAGAAAAAATACCCCCATCCACCCCCTCCAGTGATGTAAAAATGCTGACCACGCCAGTTTGTTGATTAAGTCTCAGCTGGTAGTAAACAAAGTCCCGTGTTTAAAGAGAGGTCTGCCTGTCATGCTCAATACTTTACATTCATAAATCAGCCTCACTTTGAAATCAATCCGCTATAAATAGCTGGCCTGACCTAATAACTCCCATTTCCCATAAGTCTAGTGTCAAACAGTGACAGACTCCAAAATTTGAAAGACAAAAAAAATGAAAAGAAACTAATAGAAACCTCCCACGCCAAAATTATTTTTTGGTTGCCATAGCAACTCGCCTGCTATTTGGACAACTCGTCCCTCTGGTACTCCGGCTATATCAGGTGGTTCCCTACCACTGACAGCAGGTGGTTCCCTACCACTGTCAGAAGGTGGTTCCCTACCACAGACAGCAGGTGGTTCCCTACCACAGACATCAGGTGGTTCCCTACCACAGACAGCAGGTGGTTCCCTACCACTGACAGCAGGTGGTTCCCTACCACTGACAGAAGGTGGTTCCCTACCACAGACATTAGGTGGTTCCCTACCACAGACATCAGGTGGTTCCCTACCACAGACATTAGGTGGTTCCCTACCACAGACATCAGGTGGTTCCCTACCACAGACATCAGGTGGTTCCCTACCACCACAGACAGCAGGTGGTTCCCTACCACAGACATCAGGTGGTTCCCTACCACAGACAGCAGGAGGTTCCCTACCACTGACAAACAGACAACACAGAATATTGACACCATATAGATCACATACACAACATATTGACACCATATAGACCACATACAGACAACACAGAATATTGACACCTTATAGACCACATACAACACAGAATATTGACACCATATAGACCACATACACAACATATTGACACCATATAGTTTACATACAGACAACACACAATATTGACACCATATAGACCACATACAGACAACACAAAATATTGACACTGTCTACACTGTTTTTTCGAAAAAGAAACGCAAATAGTTTACACTGATGCGCAAAAAAAAGGGCAAATAGGTTACACTGAGATAAAAGAAAGGGCAGGTGGAGAATAAAGTTGAAAAAGAATAACCCTATGTAAAAAAAAATGGGTCACTTAGAATTTCTTAGAATAATGGCCGGACTGGTTCGGCTTACGTCTTGTCATTTTCTGGACAGCTTGTCGTTTTGTTATCTAGACTGTCTGGACATTTTGTAGACGACTGTCTGGACATTTTGTAGACGACTGGACATTTTGTTGATATGGAACAGCTAAATTTCTTGTGACAGGGAACTGTTGAATTTGTTCCATCCTCCACGAAAAAGAAATGCAACTCAAGGATTTTAGCATAAGTTAGCATATGCAGCGTAAAGTCATTTCAAATTCATGAAATTCTCTACACCGCACATTTAGGGACGTTTAGACCGAG